GGAATGTTGGCTCTATGCGCTCATAGCGGCAAAACGCGGTACTACAAAAGCTCTACCCACAAAAAAATTAGTTCGGTTTCTTTTGGGTACCCCATCGTATATATGAGCTTGTTGCGGTGTGCCTGGTACACACAGGAAATACAGTCAAGTGCCAAAAGTCATGGGATAGCAGTATGTAAATTTATTTTTAGTGGCGCCACCGTCCCTTGACGGCTTGGGAATGCCCAGAGCAGTATTAGTTGTGAGGTGTTCTCTCGTGAGTCAGGTTGAACACCGGCCAGTCTGCTCATGGCAAGCCGACGTGAATTATCCGATTTTGAACGGGGCATGATAGTGGGTGCCAGGCGGATGGGACATTCCATTTCTGAAGTGCGTTCATTCGACATTCCTCGATCCACGGTGTCAGGTGTGTACCGGGAATACCTTGTGGAAGGCATTTCCACCCACCGTGGACAGCGCAGTGGCCGACCACGGGTGCTTAATGATGGTGACCAGAGGCGTCTAGCTAGAATTGTCCGTGGTAACAGACAAGCGACACTGGCTGAAATCACATCCACATTCAACGCAGGAGGTACCAGACGCATATCCAGCAGGTCAGTGCAGCGTTCTTTAGCTTCCATGGGATATGGGAGCAGAAGACCGACCAGAGTGCCTCTGTTAACACCACGACACCGGACACAGCGCCTCACTTGGGCTTGTGACGTCGCTAATGGGACCCTGGAGGATTGACAACATGTGGCGTGGTCCGATGAGTCACGGTACCAGTTGTTTCGGGCGGATGGTAGGGTTCGGGTGTGGCGCAGACCCCATGAGGCCATGGACCCCAGTTGTCAACAAGGCACCGTGCAGGCTGGTGGTGGTTCCAAACTGGTGTGGGGTGTGTTCACGTGGCATGAGTTGGGTCCGCTCGTCCACCTAAACACGTCATTGACCGGTGACCGCTATGTTATACTGCTTGGTGACCATTTGCAGCCCTTCATGGACTTAATATACCCCCACAACAATGGGGGTACATTCCATATTAAAAATAAATGAAATTATATTTGTGGCATCACCTCGCTATCGATGTGTTCCACACCTAGAGCCCGAAAGCAGAAACAGTGGAGCCAGAGGAGACAGCACTTGCTAGTAAACTGTTAAGTAAACGCGTTTCCGATGCAACGAACACACACGCAACAGTAGACAAACTGTTAGATGTGGTGTTCTCTATAGATCAGCGTCGTATCAAATACCCAATGTGTAGTGAAAGGGAAGTACGCAATTAGTTCTTCCAACAACTTTTTGTTTTGATATTTGCTACTTGATAATACATTACAAGAGTATTGCCAAACACTTTTTATTTTACCGCGATGTCTCTTTGTGTTTAAAACTTTTGAGAGATCTCTACCGAGCGTGTTGGGAGTAGCAGTAAAGTTCCAGCCCGGTATTCAGAAGGTGCTCGAACGCCAGATTTTCTTAGGTTTTCGTTGTTTTCTTCGGTACCTCCAGTCAAATATCAGGATGGTGTCTCGTCTAGGCCATAGCCTCTTCCTTCTACAGTTCTTTCCTATTTACTATTCCTGTAGACGCCGTACAGTGTAGATACTGACAAAGCCATAAAGCAGACCACAGACAAATCTTGACGAATCTGTAGAAAAGTTACGTGACGTCTAAATGTCAGAAGCTCGGAGTCGAAGTGTCGCAGAGCCGTCAATCCTAGGCAACGGCTGACTAAAACACGTTTCCACTGCAACGCATATAATAACGAAGGAATATCGGTCTGCGTCAAAGTTATATTAGCCATTGTTACTGGAGGCAATAACCAAGTGAGAACTATGCAGAATGCGGAGGATATCTTATTCGGAATATCACCAGCAGACAAACTGCCTGGAACAAGTGCATTCAATCTCAGCGAGGAATTCACAGAAGCCGACCTTCTGAAAATATTTGATGAGTTGGAGAGCAGCCAGTCATTTCACGCGCAACAGACGAACGAGGAATGTAGGACATTGCTGGAAAGGGAGCAAACCCCGTTACATAAGGAGCGATGTGACTCAAGTGAGAGTGATAGTACAGAAACCAATGAATTACCTACTGCTGAAAATACGCGCGTTCTCAAGAGTATAAATCTGAGGGATGAGCCGCTACATCTGCAGTGTGAATGGCAGGACTGCGGTCACTTTTCTCATAACCTCGACGACTTTGCGCGCCACGTCAGTTTCCACATACCGCACCTTGAGGTCAGAATGAATGAAAAACAGGAAGGTGTATATGCTTGTTTGTGGAGGTCATGTACTTTCGAATCTGCAGACTCCAATGAAATAGTTAGACACGTCAATTTCCATTCATATCATACGAAAATAAAGAACATTGGCTCAAATATTTTGTCTCGTTTAAGACTGCCAGTTTGCAAATTTAGTGACATCGGAAGGAACGTGGTTCCAAATTTGCCATATGCATTTGACTGTTGTTGGGGCCAATGTGAACGAACATTCAACAATCCACACATGTATTACAGACATGTTCAAGGACATTTACATTTCAACTCATTTCGTAATAATGTGAAAAGACGCTTTCACTGCGGCTGGCGCGGGTGCAAGTCTGTGTTCCGCTCAAATTACAAATTGGCAGAACACACCAGAAGACATACACAGGAGAAACTTGTGGGCTGTCCAACATGTGGTGAACTTTTTGCAAATAAAACAAAGTTCTCTGACCACTGTAAGCGTCAGATTCCCTTTGAAATGCGAGGATATCAGTGTTCACACTGTTTCAGGTACTACTCAAGTGAAAGACTGTTGCAGGAGCATGCACGTTGCCATGTCAACCGTTACAAGTGTGCCTTCTGTGACATCACTTGCTATTCTGCATCGAACCTTGTTACTCATATTCGTTTTAGACACCTGAACAGCAAGCCATTCAAATGCAACTTCTGTAAATACACAGCCAAAAGAAAGTATGATTTGGAAAAGCACTTGAAGATACACTACCCTGGCCCAGTTTACCGCTGTGAGGAGGAAGGGTGTCGTTTCTCATGTCGCAGCGCCAATGTGCTTCGCAGGCATCGTGACAGGATCCACCTGGGAACCTATGAGCCCATGTACTGCTGTCACATGTGTGACAATCGATACCAACGTGGCTCGCTGCTCACACGTCATCTCCTTTCTAAGCACAAACTCTGTCGGCCATCAGGGCATTGCAGATTTAAGTACAAACGTGATGAGTACGGTTACTTCAGGTTACAGACAGAGCGGCATGAGATTCTGGACGAAGCGCATGATGTGAAGGAGCCAGAGTCTTGTACCATCCAGCCGCTCTGTGGCAGTAGTCAAGCAGTATTCGACGACGGTGACTCTCTGAAGCAGGAGGCAGCAGGGCGTGGGGTTCTCATCACAATAATGGAACTGGATGAAAGTGGGAATGTTCTGTCCACTCAAGAGATAAACACTGATGAGGTGTCAGTCTTGCCCCCAGGATATATCACAATTTTTCAAGGTTGAAGTCAGATAAATTAAACCGTATTCTGAATTAATTCCATGGAGTTGAGTCCTTTTCGAGAAGCTGCCAGTCACTCAGCTGTTAAAGAATTTTCCAATATTTTATGGCACCCGAATGTTTACTACCGCGTCCACAAGACCAAGGTCCTCCAGGTACCCTATTTCAGCCTGGATTTCTCACCAGAACCCTATATGCATTCTGTTGCATGTGTGGAAATGGATGCGAGAGCATTTTTATATATTCTTTCGAAGTTGTGGACCAGCTCGCAGACAAAGCAAATGTGCATCTCCCCTCCCACACATGTGAGAAGGACAGGACCCAGACTGACGGGTAAGGACGGACGGTGGAACGGAGCAGAGGGACTCGAGACGACAGGACTAGACGAGTACTGGGGCAGCACCCCATGTAGAGAATTTGCAATGTGCCACTTAACTTATCAAGCATGTACTAATTTTGTAATATATAGTGTTCAATCCAATTCTCTGCTGTCGTTTGTTACTTTAATCCCACCGAACACGGAATCCGCCCACAGCTCGGCGAGCCTAAGTGGGATACAACACTGGCGTCAGATATGGGTGGGTATGAACAACAGTACCAACACGTCGACGTCACATGTCTGTGAAGTGTCGGAAAAAGAATTTGCAACAGCCTTAAGATAGAAAGAGTGAGAAAAGCTGAAGGAATCCTGATAGAGGAACCGCCAGAAGGAAGTGTGGAATTTCGAGCCAGGATTCTATGTCCCACTAGCGGCAGACAGCCAGGCAGTTCGGGAACGAAGCCCTATCCAGATAGCAGAAGAGGCAAAGGCGTCCAGCCAACGGGCGTGCTGCAACGTGGGCTAGTCCAGAGCAGGCTTCAACGTGTTGCAAGTAGTCTACGCGGCAGGCGTACAGCGAACTTCCAAAAGGGTGAGTGCTTGCTCAATTCATGCCTTTCATCCAAATTTAGATACTGAGATTGTAAACGCCGATAGCAATACGCAAATATGACAGAATATGTTGCAATCAGTGAGGTTTTAAAACTTGTAGCCACATTCAAGGGTGAAAGAAGGGAAATTTTCGCTTTTATAGCGAATGTAGTTACAGCGTTTGAAGTTATTGACACCGGGGACGCAACGAGAATTGAGGGAGAGACAAGAAACGTAATTGCTCATGGGAACTTGGAAAATCAGGGACAATTAATAGACTACATACACTGAGCCGGAATCTTATCTCTGTCAGACAGGTTAAGAAATATTTGCTTTGTGCAGGGTCTGTATTCAGACAGGAGTCGAAATGACGGCAATTTCGACGAGATAGCCAAGACATCCTTGGAAAAGGAGAGAGCTATATTTTCAAAGACTGAGAGGTACAAAGTTTCAAACCTGATTTCGGATAATTTGAATTGCAGTAATTGTGGTAGAAACAGTCACGTGACGAGCTGGTGCTTTCTTAAGGGCAGAAAGGACGTGAGGGTCAATCAGTTTTCTACAAGGCATGAAAGCCAAGAACCCAGAAGGGATATTATGTTACAACTGTTTGGAAAGCTCGGGAATGTACAGGCAGGTAGAGCGGTCGGCGGTCCAGTCTACTCAGTAGGCTACGTAGGGAGGAAATGCGAATTCCTCAAGCTAAGAGAGAACGTTACCAAGTCAGGTGAATTATGGTGCTCATAGACTAAACGTCCTCAAGGGACAGAACCTGATAGGTTCAACAGAATATGACTCTAAGGGTGAAAGGCACATCGTAGGAACTTGTCTTTGGGCTCCACGACCGGGGTTACTACGTGGGAAGCTTGTACAACAAAGACCTACAAACAACATACATGCCCAGTTCCTACACTGTAACAGTGGAAACGAAAATACGTGTATTTAAGCTGGCATATATATATCTTAACCTACCACGCTAAAGAAATTTAATATATTTCTTAAAATACTTTTTATATTTTTAATATTCCATAGCTAGCGCTTACTCAATACAGAACACCTTGTAGAAGTGTTTGGTTTCATCCGTTGTTACGCAACGAACCCTCTGTTGTCCTTTCATCTCCTGGGAAACGCGTTGTTATTTGGGCAATTCATATGCTGCGGCTAATTGTTTTTGCGTTTCCATGGAAGTATCCCTTCCGGATTCACGACATGCGACATTATATTCAACATATTATAAATTTCTATATATGTTTTGCTTTTTATATTTTATCTTTTATCTTATTTTGTATCTTCTACTTTAATTGAAACACCAACTTGAAGCAAAGTTTTCTGTTAGTATACAATACGACACGTTGCACTGATATGGATCCATATCAGTACTTCAATAACTGTACGTGTTCCTGTATATAACTGCCTGATGATGGTCTTTACGACCGAAACATGTAGCAGGAATAAAGATCGAATTGCAAAACATTAAAAGTGAGTTTATTTGCTGTGTGACGGTTAACATAATTCCTATACTCGTACATGTCTGGTATAGCGTTGCTGTTGTCCCAATGTGAAGTGCACTAAGTGTCAGTTGAATAAAGCACTCAGGGGGGAAAGGAAAGCGCCTATGGAAATAACCGCAACAGCATCATCCCTTTGAGAAGTGTCCCTTGGATATCGCAGGGCCGCTGGTACAGAGTGAATCAGGAAATAAATACATAGTAACGTTCCAAGATGAACTTAGTAAATTCATAGTAGCGACACCGCAACAGCTAAGGCGTTCATGTTGAATATTATTTTGAAATTTGGGTCACCTGCTAAAATTCTGACTGATCAAGGGTCAAACTTTCTGAGCACTTTGTTCAAGAACGTTTGCAAGTTACTAAGGATCAGAAAGATGCAGACCACAGCATTTCAGCCAGAGTCCAATGGCAGTTTAGAGAGAAGCCACTACGTAAGCGAAGATTAGCGTAACTGGGGTGAGTTTGTGCCGTATGCAGTTTACGTGTACAGCACAACTACACATGTCGCTACCGAACTCGCACCATTCATCGGCAGTAAGAGACAGTCCCAGCATACAGTACAATTACGAGGACTACCTCACAGAATGAAACTGCACAAGAAGTGGCAAGACAAACTCTTCTTACGCAAGGAAAAAGCAATGAACAGTATGACAAAGGGACAGAACCATTTCAATTAGATGTACTTCAGCAGATGTTGCTGTATGACGAAACAATCCGCAGGAGTAGATCGAAGAGACTTAGTCCTCAGTAGGGCCGCGCCATAGCTCAAGCGTTAGTCGCTGGCTTTCCACCGCGGCGGCCCGGGTTCGATCCCGGGTCTGGTCAAGTGGGATTTGTGGTGGACAAAGTGGCGCTGGAGCTTTCTCCGAGTACTTCGGTTTCCCCTACCAATCTTCATTCCACCAATTGCTCCACAATCACCCTCGCCTATCATCTGGGGCTGGTACAATAGGCCAGAAGTGGCCGCAGTACAAGGGACTTAGCAATAAGAAATAATAATAGTCCTCAGTACATTGGGTAAGCGATGCGATCAAGAAGAGGCGTTGTACACAGCAAGTGCATGTCGAGAGACTGAAGCCTCTTTACTAAAGAAATACTCGTACCTTACATAATATACTGCTCTAGCTGTAGGCCACTATTACTAGGAGCCTTCAGTATAATGAGGGATAGGTCCATAAGTGGATTCGGGAAACAGATCAAGAGGGAAGTACCATGTAGGCCCCAACTCTATACAACTGAAAGGAAGTGAAGTATACTGTAGCGTGTCGGCTGTGTGACGCAAAACGTATAAATCACGTGGGTCTTCGGATCGGAAAGAATTCTTTTATTGGACGCTTATTTGTACACACACTCGTACACTTATTCACTTAGGGCGCCATTACACCGGGAACTCTTCTGCCAAGTCTGAGCACAACCTGCCTCTGTCTCGCTAGAGTCGAATCCAAAACTCAGAATCTCTACTGTGATTTCACTCAGAATCTCTTGTCACACTTCTGATACTGAACTCTCAAAGTCAAAGTTAAAGTCACATTGCGACTGACGGTCAGTCAGCCAGTCAGCAAATCTTGGTGTCAAGCCCCATCTGGGGCTCATGACCAGATATTTATTACCAGGGCCAGGATTTTGATGACATGTCATCTTTTTTTCCTTGTATCCTATGCGATGCTCTTAAATATATAAATATCGGATATGAGCTGCTGGTTACGGAAATGTAAATTTTATAGGTAATTTTTTGTCATTATTTTTTACATTTTTAGGTTTAAGGTCATTTTTTCATTTTGGGGGTAACTGTTTGGCAACTGTTTAGACTTTTAAGGGTATTTCTTGTCATTTTTGGCCATTTTAGGGAATTTTTCTTCATGTTTTCTGAAATGTGAATAACATGGAAGCGAAGTGTTCTTTCGTTTCTCCTTTAGGTCATTTTTCTGGATTCTTCGGTCATTTTTAAAAATTTTCAGGTCATCAAAATCCGGGCCCTGCATATTACATTTTTGGGTCATGTTTTACGTCATTTTTCTGGATTTTTTCGGTCATTTTATAGGTAATTTTTTAAATATTTTCAGGTCATCAAAATCCGGGCCCTGCATATTACATTTTTGGGTCATATTTTAGGTCATTTTCTGGATTTTTTCGGTCATTCTATAGGTCATTTTTTTAAATATTTTCAGGTCATCAAAATCCGGGCCCTGTTTAATACTTTTTGACAGTTACGGTCTTGTTTTTGCGTGGCGCCCTCTCTGACGAGTCTGAGTCTGAGTCCAATGTTACGACCGACGGTCAGTCGGCCAGTCTGTCTTGGCATAAAGCACCCATCTGGGGCTTGCGACCAGATCTTTATTACTGGTTGACAGTTACGGTCTTGTTCTTGTGGGGGCCCTCTCTGACGAGAGGACGGGTCTGTCTTTTGTATATGCTGCTGGTCCTTACCACTACACTCTTCTATATCCAACATTCGGATGGAATAGGGAATAGCTTAGGAAATGCTAGCCTTACTCAATACAGAACACCTTGTAGAAGTAGTTGGGTTCATCCATTGTTACGAAACGAGCAATCCGTTGCTTAGTAAATGCTAGCCTCACTCAAT